ACTAACAAACAAGGCAAGTATCTGATGCTGATCCAACGTCTTTGTGAAACGAGTGACTGAGCGACTGTAAAACGCAGTGGACTTTTGTGGGAAAAAGTTTTACGGACATGATGAGAGTGTACATTCAGCGTTAAGTGGGAATATCCGCGTAGTGTGTGTGTGTGTAAGAGAGCATCGGTTAATAAAATTTAATGATTATATAATATATACATATTTCTTGTTTTGTTCTATTTGCCCACCTCCTCTATGCTATAAGCCAAATTGGATTATTATTTTAAAATATGAAAACAATGATAAATCATCATCATGTTCATTCAACATTAACCAAAAACCAACTGTTTTTCACGTTTTGTACACAATACTCGAATGTGCAATCGTAAATTTGACATTTTCCGTACAGGGGTACATTTAAAAAAAAATCACCACTGTATCATAGCACAAATGTTTTTATCGGTCCCTAAAAATAACGATAACGAGATGAATCCAGGTCAAACATTTTTCATATAGGTCACCCGTTTCTTTGCGATCACACTTTCGGGACGGAACGCTTCAGTATTTAGGTACTATTTGATGAGTGATTACTATTATTTCTACGCCATTTATTTTTTAATTTACTTCAAAATTACTATTATATTACGTAGATATACTATCATGTATTTAATAATATTAATATTATTATGTTCTACATGAATAATATAAAAATTATATGAACCCATTCTTCAATAATAGTTTTACATAATATTATGTATTTTAGTCTAATTTTTAGAGTACAGCCATTCTATATTGGCTCGGTGATTTACACGGACAAGACTAAATGACTAAAACAACACTGCAATATTGTTTTCATTGGATTATTGCTCATATTTTTCTCTCAACATTATGCATATACGTATATATGCGATTATATATTTTGTCCGTGTCCAACAAAACGGTTAATGAAATCTGTCATTTTACTCTATATGCGTGAGAATAAATCTACATATATACAACATCCTACTCGAGTAAAAATAAATACGGTTATTAATTTGGCTTGTGATCGTGCGAAACGAATGATTAACGACCAAGCAGCGGGGCTCACCAGTGATTGGTCACAATAGGCGTCGCTGCCGATGTATATCCACTCTAAACTTCAAAGAAGTCTCCTCTCACGGTTTACCTTTGTGCTTTTCGGACTTTTTTTGTATGTTCGTCTGTGTGAAGAAACATTCGACTTGTGTGTGTGAACACAAATATTTTCGTATATATTATACAAACATATGGTCACTTTAAAAAATCTGTGTTTACTGAGAACCCATTATAATTTTTTTTCATAACAATAATATGTAATCTATTGATTTAATATGTACCTTCTCTATATTAAATATTTGGTTGCTACTAAAACACCGATAATTCTATATTTTTGTAGTCTTAATAGACAATTAAAGTGCTTGAACCGTTGAACATACGTAATTATATCTTTACACATTTTTATCGAATCATTTTGCCACGCGTTTCTCTTCAACTATAATAATAAGTCGGTTATTGCACTTTTTGTGATTCGATCGCTATACAATATATTTATACGGCTTTCGGTCCTCCGCCCAAATATAGTGGGATTCAGTGACAGTAATAATAAAGTTCGTCGGAAAAAAACCACGTTTTCGCTTACAGTGATAAAACATTTTTCTTGTGTATTATATTCTTTCCGCCCGATACGCAGGGTCGAGTACATCACTCTTGATTACGATCATAGTGTCTGTTATATGGAAAATGCTACTAGAAAATAAATCGATGATTTAAATGTGGGTGTATATATTGCTGAATAAATTCCGCATAAATGACGCCGATATAATATACGTAAACTGTATAAAATGTTGATACATCAACTGGTATACCTATACATTTATTCGAATAACATATAAATTATTTATCGATTTATATTTGTTCACGTTTTGAACTCGTTTGTGACTTAATATGCTCTATTTCCCATTTTGAATGACGCCGTCTATATATGTACCTACGTATCTGTACATAAAATATAATATATTTCACGGTAAAAGGATTTTTTTGTGTTCAGACGCACTCAAAATGTGAAAAAGACGCAAACCGCTGGATAGTGGATGTGATGAGGTGTAATATACTTATATAAAGGAAAACAATGTTAAAAAAGTATAAGTTTTCAATATTTATAGTTACCGAGTAGAGATTATGAGTCTCATGAGGTTTTTTTGGCGTTACGCCATCACCACTAGCCCGATGTGAAAAACGCATAAAACACTTGGTATATGGACGGATATATATATATATATTGTGATAATGTAACTAAGTTATACCACCGGAGAAAATATTTCACGCAAAACTTGCTGTTCAAAAGTTTTTAGACACAATAATGTATATAATAACAAAATGACTTGTATACAGTGTCGAGAACAGCAGAATTATAAATGAATGCGCTCGCACGCGCTTGTTTAACAATAGCACGGATATGCCCCCACGATGCAGAATATTATTGGCATAATAGTGTTATTCAATAGCCAGTATAATGTCGCCTTATAATTTTCTTCGTTCTTTATTATTTATAATATTATATTATCACTCGCTGTACGCAAAGATATACATATTATACTCTAGCATAGACAGAACAGTAAATTGTATACATCATGCCAGCTGGGGTTAGTTTGATTTTTGTTTGAGCATTTTTTTAGTATCGCAGTTTTTCAAATGAAAAGAACACGTTTTTTTATAAGATTGAACACATGAACGTTATTGAATTTTTTCAATTAAATTTGGAAAATGGTCGAAATAAAAAAGTAATTTATTGTTACAACCCTGTAAAATCGATATCCGTAAAGATCAGAATATCCCTATTTTTATTTAACGACATTTTCAATTTTAATTTCCAAGTTGAACACTTTTAAGATGTATTATTAATGCAATAATTAATAAATATAATATTTTTTAGATTTATTTTAATACTATCTTAAGAATTAAGTATAAAAGCTTTAAATATAATACAAGGTCACCTGTTTCACATCATATTAATTACTATCTTTACTACGGTACATAATAATAATAACAAAAACAGATATAATACTCAATAAGTCCTGAAAATATAATTACCTTTTATCATTGTTTTTATTAGATAACATTTGAAATAATGTCCAACTATAATAAACATAGAATATAAACAGTACCTGCCTTTTTTTAAAGTTGAAATACATTATAATATAGTTAACCGAGCTCTCCTAAGAATCATTTTCTTAATGTGATTATTATGCGATAATGTGATTATCTTTATGTGTGACTGTGTGAGACATCATTAAAAACATTTTTTAACTCAAAAAGATAACATTATTCAACACCAAGAATGGGTTACGTCTAGTGCGATCCTATACACGCCCTGGTGATTGCGCTGTGTTCTGTTCGTATTTAATATACACCATTTAATTTTATATTCTCGTTTAACTACATTTGTAAATGTCGCTGTTGTGGCTGTGTTTCTTCTATATATTATACCACAAACATATGAGTTGTTATATAATTTTTATTGCGTCAAAGTTCTTGTAACTTTTTTAAAATAAGACCCCCATTTTATTTTCTCTTCCCTCCATGTTGTCATGTGTGTTTATGTATACATGCTATATAATATAGCGTTATACGAATATAGTGCGTTTTTTCTCCGCATAAAAGGTCTACGACATAATTTACGACTCATTTCCTTCATATTTAATCGACACTGGGATGGCGTGTGCTCAGTTATTCTGGCACAAGGTTTTCCCGTGTCCACCACTCCGCCGTTTTCCTTTTTAGCCTTTGCCACAAGAGCTTGTAATAAAACATAAGATTCCTATAATAAACGAGTGTTTTTTTTTTTTTTTTTTTTTTTTTTTTTTTGGGGGCACCCTAACCCCCGGCTCCTCCCAACTATCTGGGTTTTTTTTTTTTTTTTTTTTTTGTTTTATTTTGGAGGACACCGTAGCTCCGGACTCCTGCAAGCTTATTGATTTTATTTTTTTAATTACATTTTACCTCAAGATAGTCAGATAAGGGATCGGTAAATTGCCGGGCACGCAATATGGGTATTGGGACCAACCCCTGTGCAAATAACGTTAAATCAAAAAGCACGAAATGCTAATGTACCGGACAACATATTTCAGAATAATTTCATGTTTCTCAACTTTTAATATTCAAAGACTAGCGAATTAACTTAAATAGGTGTTGATTTTTTATTATACGTTTATTTTCTGTAAGAAAAATTTCACATTAGTGTATACGGATTCGTTGACATTTTTAAGTAAAGATTATCTAAATTTTCTATACCTTTTTATATTTGGATACTATGATTTGATTACTAAATTTGTTGTGTGTAAACTAAAAGTTAAACTTTATTGGATTATAGCTTATCTATACCTAATCAAACGTTAAAACAAAATACATTTCAAACATGAGTATACATTAAAATGGTTTTTAAATAAACACCTTCATTGTTCCATACAAATAAAATATTTCTTTTATCACTTTTACACTTTTATAAATATAAATTGGATAATAGATTCTTAAAATTATTATATTTCAATATTAATTTCTGTTCATAATTAAAATTTTAATGACATTTACATAATTTTAATTAGCCCTCTACATTTTCACTTAATTTATGGGCATTAATAACAATAAATACAATTTGTTAAAGCAAACATTATTTTAATGTGAATCAATTTGTATCTCCTTCTTTGTACACACATTAGATAAAATAAACTTTGATTGATATTCAATCATAGACTTATTAATATTTACAGAGGCTAAAATATATTTTTTTTCGTATTACACACTGTATATTAAACTTGGAGTTACTGTGGGGGGCTATGCCCCCCACACCCCCCAAAAGAGTTTTTTTAATCTATACACATAAGCATAAGGTAGTAAATTTTTATTTTTATTTTTTTTTTTTACCTACAAAATACAAACTACATTACAATAAAATATTATCAAACTTGAAAACACTATCTACAATCCATTCATTATATATAAATTATGGATAATGTTCAATTTAAAAACTGTGAATAATATAGTATGTAAGTACCTAATCTAACTATTAGTCTTCTTTTTATTACTGTTTGTATATATTTAATTAAGTTATACAATATCAATAAATTATAATTAGAAATTTAAAAATGGATGAGGTTTGAGTTAATTGTTGTTTCATCTACCATTGAAAGAGTTGATTTTTCTGATGCTTCTGGGAAAACTCCCCCAAACCACTTTTGTTTGGTTGCATAAGTATGAGCCTGAACATTGTAACAAACAAATAATTATATTTTGGTTTTCAATTAGTAATGACTAATGACTTATATTTTATTTTATCAGTGGCATTATAATATACCTTATTATGTCTTTTTTTTGACTTAAGCCATTCTAGTACTGCATTATGAGGATTGAATTCACTCAATGTTGGCATGTTCAGCTTAATATAAAGACTATCTTTTATTGTTTCTGGAGATAATTGTGAACGGTCTGCAGTTTTAATAACATTGTAGTAACTGATTAAGCGCTCAACATCCGCACTGTGAGGTTTCATTGCAAGAACACGTGCCTAAAAAATTACAACTAAAATTATTAGATTAAAAATAAAAATTAAGTAGGAATATATTTAACCTAAGTCTTAGGTATATTGACTTATATTATTTTGTTATATTTAAAATAAGTACATACTATTGAAACAGTTAATGATTCCCAGCTTGCACAATTTATCAATATTTTGAGAACACTAGTTGAAATAAGCTTGTCTTTAATCTGAGAATGTCCAGACGCTTCTTTATATGAAGTCACAAAATCAACTAAACTAAAATCTGGACAAATTAATGAATGACATTCTTTTAGTTCCATATCTGATACTGACATTTTTATAATCTTCAGTGGCTTTAATTTAGACCAGTTGGTTGTATCTAATCTTTTGAGCATGTAATTATAAATATGTTCAAGAATATCGTTACGAATAGCAGCAAAAGATCTATTATCTGTTACATATTGATGGTTAATTTTTCTTCTAGAATTTGAAACATAGTCAAACAGCTGGAACCCTTTAAGCATAAATGTTGTTGTATCTTTCTCACTGTTGGAAATATATGACACATCTGTAGTGTTAATAATAGTATCTTCCCAACCTCCAACAAGTGGTGATTCTTTCATTGTACTAATAATATGTATAACACTGTCTCTTTTGTCTTCCACATCAAAAATTAAAGTCTCATCTGATTGAATTTGTTTTTGAAATCGTCCATAGACATAACCCAGATCTGTTAGAAAACATAAGAGTTTTAATTTATTAAAATCTGTCAAAAATTTTAAAAATCCAACTGCTACTGATTTTTCTTTGACAATTCCTTCTTCTTTTTTCTTATTAAAATAACATACTAAAATGTACCAGTTTTTTATAATTCCATAAAATAATTTATAGGTAAATTCAGTCCAACGGACTTCAAAATATTTGGGTAAATGTAACAAAGACATGTTGTTCTCATCTGCAATTTTTTTTAATTCTTTAGTACGAAGACCAGACTGATGAAAGTATGTTGCTATTGATGTACATGATTCAATAATTTTTTTTACTTCCACGACATTTGCTGTAAGTTCTTCCCAAGCTAACGCACTGCGGTGTACTGCGCACCAAACTTTTATTAAAGGCATATTAATCAAAAGCCTATCATTTGTTATCAATGCCCATAAACCATTTTTTTCTCCTACATTAATTGAAGCACCATCTGTGACAAGAGAAGATATAAGTGGAAGTATTTTATCCCAAGCTAAATAATGTTCAATTGACTTTTTTATTGCATTATAGTAACCTAAAGCACCTCTGGTTTCTGGTTCTTCAAATCCCAAAAAAAGTAAACCATTGTTTCCTTCTTTAGTAATTATTTTCAACATTACATGAATATTATCTATTTGAAAGCGATCAACAGAACCATCAACTCGTAAAGAAACTGAAATACAAGACAAAAGTTTATTTTTCAGCTCAGGAATATCAGCAAGCACTATATGTTGAAGCATTTCTCTATGTCCAGGTGGATTAATATATTGAAGTTCTCCTTCCAAAGGTTTTAATGGACTAAATTTTTGCTGAATATCTAGTTTTTGTCGTTTTAAATAAGCAACTTCACAAGAAGGCCATGACCATGCACTAATAGTTCCCCGTTTAGCATCATTAAAAACAGTGCACATTAACTCACTGATTCTTTGAGATACCTTTAGGTTTTGAACAGAGATTAATTTATCTAAAGGAGCTTCTTTAGTTTTGTCTTCTTTTAATATAGTAGACAAACGATGCACTTTTAAACATTCAATATGTTCTTTTGACATTAAATGGTTAGAAAATATATTTTTTTCTAGGAATAGTACCACCAGAAGAACAAATAGCTGGTACATGATTTTTTTGCTTTGTGTGTATCAATACTGTACCTGGATACTGAACACAAATAGAGCATCTCATTAATTTCCTACCTTTAGTCTGAGGAACTTTTTCAAAACAAGCATTATTTATAATATTGCTCTCAACACTAGGATCTTCAGACAAATCATCATTAGTATCATTAACAGAACTTAATTTTTTTGCCACATCAAAAGCTTCATTTCCACCACAATTGTTTTTATCATTACTAATAATTTCAAAATAAACATCATCTAAAAATATATAATGCACCTAATCAAATTAAAGTTAGAATCCTAATACTGAACTAATAATAAATTATCTTAAAAAAATATAAACTGATAAAAATATTAACAATTTAAATTAATATTATTATGATTATAATTATAATCATTGAAAACAATTTGCAATAAATGTCTTTCATAATTTATTTATTTCTTACCTTTAGTCTGAGTAACTTTTTCAAAACAAGTAGTAATATTATTTGTAGTATTACTCTCAATGTTATGCTCTACAGGCATATCATAATTAGTATGGTTGTTATGATTGGTAACAGTAGATGTAGCTGGATCAATTGTTTTTTCTTTTTTTATTAGCCACTTATGCATTATTAATACTTAATATTTTAATATTGTAAATTTACAATACTTAATTGTTCAGGACCAATAATAAATAAAGTATACCACGTAAATTGATTAATTAAAATAAAATCTTGAGATATACTAGTCAATATTCAAAAGCACTGATATAAATAGTTTGATTATGATCATATACTATTCATAATATTCATTACTATACTGTAAACTTAATCAATGTTTTTATAATATAATAATAAATCTAAAAATAGCAATATTCATGGATAATATAAGAAAATAAACAAATAATCAAAATATTGATAACATAGATATTAGATGGTATCATTGCTTGTGATATTATCATGAATAAAGATATCTATAGACAGTTTTAAATAATGAATAGTTTACAATATGTTATTGTACATTAAATTCTTATCTATCTATTTACCAACAATAATTCTTCAATTATTGAAGAATAAACTGTAAAAAAAGTTACTAATTATTACAGGTCATTGCTCATTACACACTTTTTAATTTCGTATTACACACTTAGCATTTCGTACTACACAAAGTGTGTCGTACTACACACAATTTTAGTCCCTGAATATTTAATTGAAATAATTCGTAATTTAGTACTTCAAATTATGTTAATTGTTTTATAATTATAAATAAATAAATGTGTATCATTCACAAGTATTTTATTGTTAGCAAAGAATAATAACATTAATATAATAATGTATAGATATTTTAAGATTTCTATTAGATTTATCATAAAGCATAAAGAAGCAGTATTAGTAGTAAACTAGGGATGTATTGTAACAATTTTATTTGTATCTACTGCTTTTAATATCAATTAGACACATCACTCTCTATGTGATTTTTTTATAACTGTTATATTATTTAAATATAGTGCTGGACATCTAATCCGGATAAATCTGTATCCCGGATTACCAATCCGGATCAATCCGGATTGAAACAACTGTTATTAATCTGTTTATCCGGATTAAAAATGATCAATCCGGATTTTGATATGAATCCGAATTAGGTAATTCAATCCGGATTCTGGTATAAAAATAAAAATTCGTTTTTCTTATAAAAGAGATAAGATAATTATTGAGTAAATCTATTATTAACCAGACGACGGGAATTCCATCGTTCCATCGTTCCTCTCCGATATTCCTTATCATTTATAACCTTATCATTGGTATTTGGTTATTCGCATTTAGCTTACACAGTCAGTTACACGAAGTTGTGTAAATGTGTGTAATGAACGAGTGAAACATTATTTTAAAATGTCGAAAATTTGGGAGAATTTTAAAAAGATTGTGGACGAAACTGGGAAGAGCCTATCAATTTGCAATGCTTGCGGGAAATCGTTTAACACAGCTGGCAGCACAGGTAATTAAACTATTAAACATTTGTATTGTGTATTTTTAGTTGTTACTAATCAAAATTCAAAAATCAAAATAATTTGATGTTATAAAAAAACAGTAGGTACTTAATGTAGTTTTACAAATTTATTATACAAGTTCATTTAGATTTGTTGAAGTATTTAAATTAATTTACTTAAATAATATTAATATTAGGTTTTTTTTATATACCTAAGGAACATTATGGAGTCACTTACGGACAAAGCACAATTTAAACAAAACACTGGGTGGTGAGCATACTGTTATAAAGAAAAGGTAATATAATAATATGACATATAATAACAATATTTATGTATCATAATATAATAATATTATTATGAGATATGATATAAATATATAATTATTTTAATATGAAATACTTCTATTACTTTCTTGATTAAAAATCAAGAAAGTATGGTAATTGAAATGAAAAAATTTAATTATTTTATTTTGCTGTACTGTAAAATATTTAACTACTTACCATGATGGTGTTTACAACTTTAAAATTATTAGGTTGAAGGTATTTTCAAATAAATGTTTGTGAGAGAGTGGGTCATCATAATCCTTCTCCAAAACACATATTTATCTGAAGCTAGCTGCAACTGTCAATTATTATGATTGAATAAATATATTTATTTCAATACTAATACTTTGGAAATTCAGGCATTACATTATTAATAATATCTTTAGTAGCTTATTTGTAATTTGTATACTTTCATTTAGACCATTTGAAGGAGATGATGATGATGATGCTGAAGATATTATACTGAACGGTGAAGAATCTCATTCTGAAAACTCTCAAACTGTGTCTGAACCTGAAGTATCTACATCCATTACAGTTTCATGTTCAACTCCAGATTCAATAAAACAACAAAAAATAACAGATTTATTATTTTCTCCTTCAGTGACGGTCAAAAAGCAAGAAATGATAACTGAAAGTCTAGTAAGATATATTGCAAAAGACATGCTTCCACTTTCTTCGGTAGATGGTATTGGATTTCTAGAATTCATGAGAACAGTATCACCAAACTATGAAGTACCATGCCGAAATACTATTAAAAGAAGAATGCTTGGACTTTACTTGACCGAAAAAAACCGAGTTGCTAGTGGTTTGAATGGTATAGATTTCATTGCCTTAACAACAGATTGTTGGACTAGTAGATCTAATGAATCATACATCTCAATCACGGCTCATGGAATCACTAATGAATGGAAAATAGTGAACTATATTATAACAACCGAGTTGATGGATGAACGTCATACAAGTATCAATTTAAAAGAAAAACTGTTAGATATTATAAGTGACTGGGATATTTACAATAAAGTAGTTTGTATTGTTCATGACAATGCAATTAATATAAAAAATGCAGTTTGTTCTATGGCTCCTGATATAAAAAGTAGAACTTGCTTTGCTCATTCGCTGCAACTTTGTGTTAATAAAGGCTTAGAAGATAAATCAATCAAAGATTTACTGAGTACAGCTTCATCAATCGTATCACATTTTAAACACTCTACTGTAGCTTCAAAAGCTCTTTTAGCCGCTCAAAAAAATTTGAAAATGTCAACAAACAAATTAGTACAATCAGTAAAAACCAGGTGGAACTCTGTTTATGCTATGCTAGTCAGACTTAACGATTCCAGACAAGCTATTTGTTCAGTATTAAATGACCGTACAGTTACTACAAGAACAACTGCATTGACATTGGAATTGAGTGAAAGTAAATGGGAGTTGTTAGAATACTTGATAAAAGTTCTTGAACCTTTTAATCTCGTTACAAACATATTATCATCAGCAAAAACTCCCACAATTTCTACTGTGCAGCCAATTTTAAAAAGTGTTGTGGATAATTTTTTAAAACATGATAATACAGATCTTCAAGAAATTCAAACATTTAAAAGAATACTAACCCAAGAGTTTGAAACAAGATTTTTCGATGCTGCTCATGAAGAGGCAATTTTTTTTTTAAATATTGCATCTTTTTTAGATCCACGTTACAAAAATCATATTATTGATAATAACAATGATGGAACATTAACTTTAATAAGAAACTTCATACAGACACAACTAAATTTTGATGATGGTGCTGGAATTAATCAAACCGACAGAGATACTGCCCAACATTTAGAAATGACTGCTCTTGATATATTATTCCCAGACAATGAAAGATGCAGTGAACAAAATGAACTTGATAAATATGTAAAAGAAAATACAATAAATAAAAATGCTTGTCCATTAGCTTGGTGGAAAGAAAATAGTTCAAGATATCCAAACATTTCAAAACTTGCAAAAAAATATTTGTGCATTCCGTCCACCTCAACACCTTCAGAGAGAGCGTTCTCTACCGCAGGAAATATTATAACAGCAAAAAGAAATTGTTTATCAGGTGAAACGGCCAAATGGTTAATCTTTCTTTCTCATAACACAAAGCAACAAAATTAAAATATTTGTTTTTTTTATAATGTAACATTTTCTATGTACAAAAATTAAATAAAAAATAGTTGTTCAAATTAACCATGTGATTTTTATTTAGTTACTACTTACTACTTATATTTTCATGATTGTATGGGGTAGTAATTTATTTATTTTATTATAAATCAACATTAAACACCTTTTTGGAAAATATAATGATATAATATGGATATGCATGTGATAAATAATAAATTTACATAGAAATAAAAAAAAAGAATATAGATTGATACAATAATTATTATTAAATTAGTAATTAATATAACAAACAAATATATTATATGTTTATTATCCTGGTGGCTCTAAAGTAGATACTATATTATATTATCATACATATCAAGATGTCTGTACTTTGTTGATTGTTCATAAACATGATTTTTAAATTAATGATTCAGCTTTATAAATTAAACCCGTTACTCGGATTTACGGATTGAATCCGCGAATCCGGTTAAGACGGATTGAATCCGCCAATCCGGATTCTTTATTTCAATCCGTGGTCCGGATTAGGCAAGTCAATGTCCAGCACTATTTAAATATAAGCTACTGTTTCTTTAGTAATTTCGATTTTTATGTAGGTACCTATAGTTATTTTTATTTTAATCAAAATTTTTCAATGGATTTAATGTTAGCCTTTTTATACATATTTTGAGTTGGGTATTTGGATATGACCCATAATTTTTTTAATAAACAAATAATAAACCGTCCATAGTGAATATAATGGGTATTCATTTTTAATAAAAATAGTAACGTCGATGTCATACAGCGTTTCATTTTTCAGGCTACAAACTACTCGCACAATATAATATCGTACGTATTAAGTACAGTAAAAAATAATCAGTTCGACAAAGTGTTTGAAATAAGAAATTTAGAAAAATAGTAAGTGTAACTGAGAACAACTAATGGTATTGCCCATCAGCAGCAAGATTGGCGAGTCCCAATTACAAATTTATTAATATACCCGCGAGTACGAGGTAGGTATATAAAATTTTATCGCGAGGCATTTGTTTACCAAATAGTAATTATTATTATTATTATCATCATGCACAACAATTAAAATATATACCTATATATTGTACACACATAATACAATATAATATTCGTGTATGTTTGTGTCGTAAAACCTTCCGCCTTCGCTGTACCACTTCATACGATGTTAATCAATCTTGCTCGCTATGATTTACGTGTAATAACAACGTGTATGCCATATTATCATAAAATATGATATTATTCTCATTTATACTACCATAAAGTAGTTTATAGTATATTACAATAATAAACATGGCTTACTTGCGGGTCAGTTGGCAAACCAGCCGTCTCTCATGTCCCATGCACTGGCCAAGTTCTAAATATATAATCAAACCATAGATGTTTGTCACATTAGGGCTGGCTAGCACATGGCGTATTTTCTAAAGAAAAATGAAAACCTTGAAATATTCAAAATATTATAATAATGATACCGCCGAATTATCGACTGACAAGCATTGCGACGACACATTGAGATTCCGTTTTTTATTGTTATAATCGGTCGTTTAATAAAAAAAATCTACTTTTACTACGCTTCCTAGGCATCTGGTTTTTTTAACAAGTTTATTGCCTAAAAGTAATCCACTATTATGAAATGTACCTACATGGTGTACTATGATTATATACTTGCACTATGCTATGAAACATGGTAATTTATAAATTATTTTAATAATTTAATGTATTACCTCAGTATACAATAAATATATATGTTTGCATTAAATTACATTATATTGACGTTTAATTTTTTTTTTTTTTAGAACTTGAACCATTTTTTAAATTTATTCGGTGGTTTTTGTTTTTAATATACCTGCTGTTTTTATTATAATGGTTTCAATATTATTGTTTTAGAAAATGATTTTATACGTTATTTTTTCCGAACGAATTATATCAATTTTTTGTATTATCTGTAACTTAGTACATTAAACCTTTTTATTTAATCATTATTGATTTTCAACAAAGAAATACTTAGTAAAACTCGCAGGGGGAGGGGCTGAAGTGATTAAAATATGTTGTTAAATAATTATGACTAAATAAAACCATGTATTGTATAATGTATATATTGCATTAATAATAACATAAAAGCTAAAGATGTTACTAATATACATTATATATATATACACAGGTGAAAACTGTCTAATGCAGAATAGCATGGGACCAATCAAAAATTTCGCTTTAAGCAGTTTTCTGCTTTATTGAATAAAACGGAAAAATTCCTGATTATAAATTCGTATCAGTTTTCCACGTTAAAAAAATGAGTTAACAAAATTTATAATTTTTATTTTTTGAGTAGAGACTAATTATAAACTTAATTTATTACTTTGCTTTATATAATTTATTTTAGATTAATTATAGACTTATTTTCTCACAAAATTATTAACAATTTATACATATTACATAAATATGAAAGTTGGAAATTAAATTTAAGCATTTAGCTTTTCCAAAAATCATGTAAAGTTTTTGTTTTGTCCCTGTTGTTGCTATTTTTCCAATATCATATGTATTTGAATGGACATCACTTAGTATGTACAAGCAAACTGTTCAGTGTAAGACTGTTGGTGCATAACTGTTTTATAGCTATACTTTATACATACGAGATAAGTATGTATAAACGATAACCAAAAAATACAAATTACTTAACTAATAATATATATAGTGCCATTTTATCTTAATTATCATTTTATAATGTACCTACATATTCATATCAACGTAACATGACGCGTGTCATATTTCCGGCTTATGCATGGTTTTTACTTGCATTGAACCTACAAAACCGTTCCGTTTTCACATTAGGAAGGTTCCGTTTTATTCAAAATCCGTATTGCACAAATTTCACTGTACTACCAGTAGTCGATGAAGTTGTGATCGTGATTATTATACCATATTTTCATCGAATTTGTTGTCACTCGAACAACAGCAAAATAAATAATAATATTATTCTATAATATAACCGTTATTTTGTTCACAGGTGTACCGTTTCCGCCAGGTCGGAAGTTGACCACCGCTGAAATATGGGACTCAAGGACAAACAAACCTCGACCAGACATATTGAAACAGCACTTCATACTCGAGGGTCGGATAGACGAAGCCGCCGCGTTGCGCATCGTCAACGAAGGTGCATCGCTACTCAGATCCGAAAAAACCATGATAGACATCGAAGCTCCTGTTACTGGTGGGTACAATATATTATTACAAGACGTGGTAAATTAAATTTAATGTTTTGGTCATTAATATTAGGTATTAAAAACGAATATAAAGACACTGACACTGTAGATTTTTATTGATAGCAATTATTGTTTTATCAAAAACATAAAAATTGATTGGAATAATAACAAGTATTTTATATTCTAAAACAATATCCTGAATGCTGAACAAATGTCTAGTTGAAAAGTTATTAACGTAAACTCATTGCAAATTTTGAGTTGATACAAAACATAGTTGTACCTGCCTAACTATTATTATTATTTTAATAAATATTAACATGAGTCATTGTATCTTAACTATTGTTACAAGACTAATTTTGAACAGTACAAAAAGAAAAAAAAGAGACTTAAAGCTTACAAGATTTTTAATTTTTAAACCAACGTGAAGGGAACATGAATAAAATAAAAACTATAACTGTGAGAGGAAAATGTTATTTTAAATTTAGTGTAATGAAACAGAGAGCAGGGTAATTGATTAGAAAATCATAAAAGTAACTGTTATTTTTTATGATTTATTCTAACTGTAAGTATAATATACCATGTGTATAGAATGTCAATTTTATTGTATTAAGGGAAAAAAAAACGATTCTGTCAGAAACTTTTTTTCATCGAAGACAGCAAACAGATAAGTTAAAAACAACCCGTCTTTCGACTGTAATATTTCTATATAATTTTATTTTGCTATTCGTAGCTATCTCAAAAATTGCCTTTAAATTTGCATTAAGCTCATTTTAAGACATCGGCTCATGTTCGTCGTGTTATATTACAGTTTTGAACTATAATAACACCTCTCCAAAATCATTATTTTCTTTTAATCTAGCTACGACCCGTGCAACATATAGACATTATAATATGAACGATCGCAATCGAAATTATTAAAATATATTATTCACAGTACGGCCCAGTATATACCTTCATATTTTATTCCTGAAGGTTATCCTGCAACCGGGATATATCTTATTCGTGTATTATACGTTAGTAATTCATGTTTTATAAATCTCGAAGAATGTACATTCGTGTGCTATATTGAAGTAGGTCGTTTGTTAGTCGCGCGACTACCTACTATACACACACACATGCCGCAAAGACTGCTGCAAATCCCGAGAATAATGCTATTATTTTTGACAATGCATATTATAATATCTTATATGTATGATTTGGCGTTCTGAGCACGTTTAGTTGTATGTTTAACTATTGCTCAACAGATACCATATTGTCTCTGACGATGCTTAATACGCGTCACATATTAAATTTCCAATGTCTTATTTGATATTATTTGCGAATGTTTTTCGTTAACTTTTGTGATTTTTATTTGCATTCACGTGACGTTTAAACCAGATATATAGTTATTCAAAGTTTTCGTTTAATTCCAACGTTAATAAATATCTTTTGTATCGTTTTTTCCCAAAAAAAACTGTTAGTATGATGGCAACTTACGAAAATATAATGAAGTCAAAATTTTCACTCAAAATCATCACTTTGAATAATATATAGACAGTGTATATGGTGTACATATCATATTTTTCCTTATCACCACCAATAAAAGTATTAAAACATACATTTTTTTTTTTTTTAATAAAAAAAATTATATTAAATTATTGACAAAAAACAACATTTATCTAGTTTTATTCAATAATTATATAATTAAAATATCTACTTTTTGAATATATATTAATTTACTGTAGGATTTTAAATTGACTGTCCCATAGATTTTGATTTTTTTTTATTTCAAATTGCAATTAGTATAGGTTTTATGTTACAATACATTTTAAATCGATTATAACTATGTAAATTATAAAACATTTGAAACATCAACTAAATTAAGCATATACTGAAATATAAAATCAAATATTCAAATAAATAATAATTGTATGTGTTTTTTTTTATGTATTAAATGATATCTAGTTATAAATCTATTGAATGTTTAAATTAATTGCGTGTAATTACTTATTTTATATCTAATTTAAGGCACGAGTGATTGCAAACAAATCAATTATTTATTTATAAATTAAAAACATTTAAATTATAAAATATATTTATTATTTTCTTCATAATGTAAATCGTTTGAGTTCTATCTTAGTGTCTTTTTTTTTTTTTAATATTGCTTATATAATATTGTTGGTACATTTCGACTAATTGTACAAACTAAAAAGTGATAGTTGTCTGTAATGGATGACTATAATAAGAATTTTATAACTATAGAATGTTATGAAACTATTAAAAATATCTGTGTAAATTTTTAGATAATACATACATTGTGTTTTCATAGCTAATAATTCGTATTACTAAAACTTTAAAATTTTTTTATTTTAATACTGTTACAATTACATTTTAAATCCTATAAAAGTTCAAATTACTTAATAATAAAATTATATACTCATATCAAAAAAGTGAATATACCTACTACAGAATTATTATAAATTATAGTATTTATATATGAAAAGAAACGTATGAAATAACTATAGTCTATAAACCTATTAAAAAAACACAAAATAAAATAATAAAATTATTCTTAAAAAAGATTTTAAATGTCATACAGAATACTATGAAACTTTTTTACTTTATAGTATCAAAATTAATGTTACTTTTAAAATTAAACAAGGATGTAATATCAAACAAATATCTAATATAACATTTCTAACCATGCACACAAATTTATTCTAAATTCCACATATTTATATATATTTTTTTTTTAAATTTACAATTTATTGCCATTTTACATTAAACATAATAACTCTTTTAAAATTATTTGAAAAAATTCAACTTTACTACTATGAAAACAAAATATAAATGTATAACAAATGTATGTGACTATTATTATTATTTTATTTTATTTTTATTTTAACGTTTTACATTGTATTCATTATTTAACTACTCGATCTTACATATAATTTATATATATATATATATATTGTAAATCTTTAATTGTATTTACTAATCAATTTATAAAAATAATTATTTTTTTTGAATATACTTCAAATAACTTTTTACTCTACTAATATTTAATATGAATTTATATTTCAAATTATGAATTCACAAGTCTATACGTAATATTGTTTAATGAGGTCTATTATATTCTTGAAAAATAAATAGAAATCAAAAATAATATTTCACAAAAAAACTAACTTTTATAAGATTTTCTTTTAACCATTTTTAAGAAAAACTTGTATAGATACGTTAATTCTTGTATATTTAAGGTTTTCGGTAATATTATAACATTAATAATAACACAATTTTATTTTGATTGTTTGATTTCAAATTCTAGTTTGTGGCGATATTCACGGTCAGTTTTACGATCTAATGAAGTTATTTGAAGTCGGTGGTCCTCCTGCAACAACTAAATACCTATTTTTGGGTGATTACGTGGACAGAGGGTATTTCAGTATAGAGGTAATTTATTAATATTACACATTTCATTTATATAACCAATAGGTTACATTTATATGTTTTTATTTCCATTAATACCCAATTCTCGTGGCTTTTGTGTATTTAATCATTATCAGATTTTAAAAGTCATAATATAGGTACAAAATGTTTTCGGTTATTTGCTCATTTTTTATAGTATAAACGTAAATAAAAAAGAGAATAAATTTACTCATTCAATTTATAATTTAATCACAACTTAAACTTTAAAGTAGCAGCTGGACAACTCGAGATCTCCGTATCCTGCCTATGTGTATAAAAAGTGTTACATTTTTAAAAGAAAAATAGACGATTTGGTTCTATATTTATAAAACGATGGCATGCAGCCACAGCTTAAATTATAATTTGCTTTTAAAATTTAAAAGTTTAATAATTTTTTTTTTTTTAATTTTTCTTATTATTTTTTGTATATCTTTTGAATTGCGATTTAAAATGGCTAAAAATTCAGGGAATTAGATACCTATTGTCTTATTTAACTAATTTATATATACTCTCATATTATATTCTTATACATTACATCGAAGTCATGAATATTTTTTTTTTTAATAATTTTTGAAAATAATTATAAATTTCCATAATACTTATACCTATACCTGTACGTGCTTACGTGTTTTGGTATAGAGGCAGAGAAGTAGTGAATCAAAAAACTGAATTGAATTTCGGAACGCTGTACGAAGTTACACGAAATATCCAAAAGATAAAATGAAGTATAGATTAGAGATAATATCAAATATACTGATTATCATTGGTTTACCTGTATTCATTTATTGTCGTAAAATCGATACAAATATGTAAATTTATTATAATACCAATACTTTCATATTATTTCCTTGACATTTAAGTTCAGCTGTTTAATCTTATATTGAAAGGTACAGAGTAGTCAATACAATTCACATCGTGAATAATAATAATATTTGTACATAATACAGTACTGTTGTATATTTATCTATTATGTTCGGTATTTTTGCATTTGTATAATATAATTTCAATGCACTTACAGTGTAGATAGGTGAGCAACGAGAGTAAAATATAGATATAAGATCAATATAACATTTAAATATTAAATAACCTATATAATTGAAAATGAAAGTATTAATTTTTAATGATTTTTTTTATTTATTTTATAAACAAAAAAACAACGTAATATAAAATTAAATCAATTAATAGCTGATTTAAAATTTAAAGCAAATTTTTTGTAGTTAAAAAAATTGGATTCTTTATTAATCTTTACTGTGCCCAAAAAAAAATTTTCAAAATAATATTTTCTTAAACTTATTTTTATAGGAATAAAATATGAAAACAACATATTATAGTTAATTTAAAACAGATTATCTGTGCGGAATATGTAAAATCGTGTCATGACAAAAAAATATATTGTATTTTACTTCATGAGATTTTAAAATTTATTTTTACTTTATTTAAATTAATATCAAAAATATAATTGGACCTTACTGAGAAAAACTCGTTTAAATTCTCAGGGTTATCTTAGTTTACAAATATTCTTGATTATATAGATAAACATAACACAAAAAACAAAAATTTTCTTAATAATAATAAATAATTTAAAATTCGATATGTTTTATATCTTGTAATATTGTTGTCAATAAATCTTGTATTCTAAATAATAAACCTGCAAATATAACTTTCACTTTAATTTTAATACAATAATGCTATTATTAGTCATTTTGACTATATAATATTTATTATATACAATTCTAAGAATTAAGATTTGCATTGTTGTTACAGAAGATAGGTACCTGCTCTAACTACTCTTACAATTAATGTTCATTAATAGTATCTACATATAAAATAACATCACTGCAATTTACCTACACCTGCGATTGTTATTTCCTATATAGTTATATATTATTTATATAAATGATTATTTTGTTTGTAGTGTGTGCTTTACTTGTGGGCTTTGAAGTTGTGCCATCCTACTACATTATTTCTATTAAGAGGAAACCACGAATGTAGACATCTAACCGAATACTTCACGTTTAAACAAGAATGTAAGTAAATCAAATTAATGCAAGCATTTGTATTTAAAATTAATTTGATAAATAATGTACTTATGTACACAATATAATATTGTAGAATTTCATTAAAATGCTCATATATTTAGGAACTGCGACAATAACTGTGTGTAATTAACTTATATTGTTATTTTCAAAATTATCATTATTGGCTTATATTTTATAATAGATTCTTGAAATTATAGAAACCTATTTTATGCAACTGTTTTGTCACTTATTAATACTGTAATTATTTTTGAATAAAAAATTAATTCTATGCATTCACTTCATAGTTCATGATAGTTTTCAGCTTGTAAAAATACTACTTGCGTATCACGAGTAACAATTTAAATTGTAATCATTTAATTTCTTAATATTTCATAAATTATAATAACCTTGTATGAGTATAAAAAAAAAGAAAATAAGAAAGAAAAAGAAAATATAAACACAACTCTTCAGTTAAATAATAATTATTTTTAATTTTGATGCAATTATAATATAATGCGTAGAATGTCTTCAATACTGTTTTGGTGCTTCAATAAAAACCTTACTTCAACAAACCCATTTATCCGCATTAAAAAAAAAAAAAACAAAAAAAAAAACTATTGAACGCATTTATTCAAAGAAACATCTGTTGAAGATGTTAACAATTTTATAAACATACATAGATACTGCAGATTAGAAAAAAATATATTAAGGTACCTTTTAATCAAATAAAAATAATTGATTCTTATATTTTATATTATTATTTTACATGAGTATTTTTTAACAATAACATTGAAAAAAAAATGTTCTTTAGATTCAATTTATACTTTATCCTTAGTCAATATTGAATGACCCGTACAGTGTATATAAAACTACGACTTAAGGACATGTAAAGTGTAATGATTTTAGTTCTATTACGTGTGTAGATATTATTGACGACGACATTCCCCAGCGATTTTCACCCTTTGGTGTTTTGTAAATACAAACATTTTACTTAACCTAACCACAGGTTAAATACGATTATAAAGTTTTATTGAAATGTAAAAATTGAATTTGTGGTATTTGGATATACATTCGAATAAATATTAACTTTTGACTATAAATATATAGTTGTCCATCAGTTAAACCTATACAATTCTATACCTACCTCTATAATTTTTATTAATATATATATAAAGGTTGATTAATACAATAATTTACCAAAAAAATTTAGTCTATACAAGCCATCGGCATTAATGAAATATTAACTATCTACTCATATATTATTACTTAACTAATCGTGATACCAAAATAAAAAAAATCTTGGATCTAATTATTTTATTATATTTTAATCGCATAAACTTTTCTAGGTAAAATAAAATATTCTGAGCGAGTTTATGATGCTTGTATGGAGGCATTTGATTGTTTACCTCTTGCTGCGCTCATGAATCAACAATTCCTCTGTGTTCACGGTGGACTCTCGCCAGAAATACATAATCTGGACGATATCAGAAGGGTAAGCCGCTACCGATACTCATATATTTTAATATATATATATTTATCCACGTTTTCCTATTGTTTATTTACTATTATACAATATTTTTTTTGTTTATTCAGTTGGACCGATTCAAAGAGCCACCAGCTTTTGGTCCAATGTGTGATCTTCTTTGGTCTGATCCTCTAGAAGATTTTGGGAGCGAAAAAAACGCTGAACATTTCAGTCATAATAGCGTTAGAGGCTGTTCATATTTTTACAGGTATTTAAATATCCTTAAAAGTTTCTATGCTAACGACGAGACCCACAAAAATGGTACAAATAATTTCAGGAGTAAAAATATTTTGGTTTTTATCACATAAAATCATTTAAATAATAATTTTCGATATTTAGTTTCTATATTAATAAAACGAATAATCTTTATACCAAAATATAAAGAAAAAATACTGTGTTAAAATTTTTAAACATTGACAGTTATACATTACCAAAATCACTACTTACCTTGTACTAAAGATTAAGGTCATGAATAAGATACTTTCTCGCTATCCTTGTGTTTAATTTCCAAGTGACAAGCTAAAAGTTATTTGAAATTACTATAGAGCATACATATAAGCTATAGGTAGTACATTTATCAAATATTTAAATACGTCTGTATCACAAATCTTTGTTTTTCAGTTATAAATTAAAACTAAAATATTTTAGATAACTATTTAAAAAATAATCCTTATTATTATTTTTTTTAAATGATGATTCTTTCATCAAAAAAAAAATTCATTCTTTTCTTTTGTCTAATTTTTAGTTATTAAAAAAATAATATTTTTCTATAAAAAATTATACTGTAGGTATACTATTTTAATCATTATCAATTTTTAGGTTTTTACTTTTTTAATGACAACGTATATTTTTAATGACATACCCCAAACAAAAAAAATTTTAGAGTACTTTGATTCATAAAAGGTTGGACGAGTAGCTTATAAGTTATACGTATTTAAATTTAAGACATAGATGAGTGATGTAATAGACAAACATTTTGTGGGGTACTCCTATGCCTTTCCACATCGTTCATCTGAATTTTAAATACCAAATAATAACTATCATAATCTTAAACAACTCATCGAAAATTCGATTTTTATGCATAAAAGTACTTCAAAAAAAAAATTCTACTTTAAAACATACCATTAAAAATGAATCTTTAATAAAAAAAAAAAATATTTTTAAAAAATGTTTTTTTATAATAACTTAAAATTAGGTAAAAAAAATATTATCAAAAATATTAACAGTTTTTATTTCTTATGTTTATGTAATAGGTACTGGGTTATTAATTTACATTTTATTTTTTAAAACCAGTGAAATATATGTTGTACAAATTTTCAATTAAGGAATCTTTGTATTTTTATCAAATAAATTGTATAGATAAAAATGTATCTGTAATCATAATATATGATACTAATAATAATTATAATATAAATAAGTAAAATACATAATTCTACAACCCAAAAAGTATCCATGAACTTTTTAGTTATATAACCATATATACTTGTAATTATTTTAATTTCATATACATGTAAAAATTGAAAATTAAAGAATTGTGTGCAATTAATAATTATTAAGCACTCAAATAAAATTGTTCTTATATTTGACTAAGCAAGCCCGCCATAAAACCTTAAAAAATTAAAAACAATAAAAATATACAATATTACATTTAATTATTTAAAATTTAAATAGATGCGCATAAATCATGCATTTAAGTAAAAACTATAATAAATACAACAATGAACCAAATTTGGTGAATTAAAAAGTAGATAATTTAAGACTACGATTAAAGAGCCTTAATAAAATATAAGGATTATGAAAAAAAGAAATAATGACTAAAAATGTTGAGGTTGGAAAGGATAAAGATTTAATAATTTTTTAGTAAAATCATGCTCTGTTGTTTTATCCATTTATCTAGATGTATCGTTTAATTTAACATAAGAATATACATTTATAACCAAGATTATAAAATTTTATTTTATTTAACTAATTTAATTTGTAAACATTTTTTTTTCAGTTATGCAGCATGCTGTGATTTTCTTCAGAGCAACAATTTACTATCCATCATAAGAGCACACGAAGCTCAAGACGCAGGGTTTGTTACAAACTTATTTTTTATGCTCTATAAGTCGATTTTTTTTTCAGTTAATAATTTATGTTTATTTGATTTAGATACCGAATGTATAGAAAAAGTCAAACTACGGGTTTTCCATCTTTAATCACAATATTCTCAGCTCCCAACTACTTAGATGTATACAATAACAAAGTAAGAAATTAATATTATTTTAGTAATATCAAATATTACTTTATAAAAACGATTGTTAACCATGTCGTATGTATAGGCTGCCGTTTTAAAATATGAAAATAATGTTATGAACATCAGACAATTTAACTGTTCGCCACACCCTTACTGGTTGCCAAACTTCATGGATGTATTTACATGGTCTTTGCCGTTCGTCGGCGAAAAAGGTATTTTAAGTATTTTGATATCACTATTCCAATCAACATATTTTAAACGTGTATTTTATAGTTACCGAGATGTTAGTGAATCTATTGAATATTTGTTCGGACGATGAATTAATGACCGAAGGCGAAGATACACTTGAAGACGGTATGTACAATCACTTTACACATATTTATATGTATATGCACAAAACAACTGTTTCAAATTACATTTTTATTTTTATTTTTTCGAGTACAGATGTAATAATACTTTATTGCCTTCTCGATCGATGCTCGAGCTTCTATGATTAGCAACACTGATCGAGAAAGCATTTTTCACAGTAGGACAGTATATACTTTTATTTAAATTTCTATATTAAATACTATATTAATATTTAGCCAAATTTTAGCTTTAAATTTATTCTCACCCTATATTATTAATTTAACATTGTATTGAATAATAATTTTTTATTCATTTATTTTTATACTTTGCTTTTTTTTTATTTATCTTAATTTATGCTTCTCTGGGATTACAGCTGATGGTAAGAAATGTCTATATTATATTATTAATATTGGTTTAGTTTAAGTAGAGAACAAAACACATACTAAATAATGTCGTTAGAAAAATGGACTGCTCCCTACGTAGATATTCAAAACTCCTACCTCAATATTTTTATTTTTATTTTTATTTTTACTTCCCTTTATTTGTTTACTTTTTGAGTTGCTACCATTTATGAATTTTTATAAAACAAACCTTCTAACTCACTTGAATGTTTATTATTTATTTTATTTTTGCTCTTTATATTTTCCCTGCGACAATAAGGAGATAAAAAAAAAAGTCACGACCAATTGTCTCACATAAATAATTTAAAAATGAAAACATGATGAATTTCGTTATAAAAAAATAAACAATATAATTATTTCGATTTTATTGACCTTTCATACATTGATTCATTTCAAACCCATCAATATTTAATTGGCAGCGATTAAAATAACAAATAACTGAACAGTTAGTTTCAATTAAACTAAGTGAAACAATGATAGACGAGTACGAGTATATTTATATCTGAACATGTACATGTATACTCAACGTCTGAATTTTATTTTAATAATCACACACAACCCCTGTATTCAATCTTATTTCAATTACTATTTAATTTAACTAAGTTTTTATATATTTATTCAAAGTTATAAGTCTTGTACCTGGATAATGGATTATATTTTTCAAATAACGAATAAAATATTATATTTTTAATTTCGTTGTTTTATAATAACAATATATTAAACAAAATATAGTAATTTATTTTTTCCTATATGAAGGCATTTATTTTCAAAATTATGTAAACTGTGACACAATAGTTAAATAAATTTAATATATTTTGTATTAAACCTAAGTTAAATTATTTTGAATAAAATTTACCATGAAAAAGCTAACTTATTTTTTATAATAAAAGAATAAAACCAAATTAATGTTGTTTCATAATAAAAATATATATAAACTAAAATACTGAATACTTTCAATAATTCCTTTTTGTAGTTTGTTTTTTTAATCAAAAGCTGATAAATTTTCAATTTCAAAATTCATTAATCTAATCTCATATAATTGTATACCTAACTATATATACACACATACATACAATATACATATACAAGTATAACTGTTCAACTTACGGAAACTATAAAAAAAATTGAAAAAAGTTATTATAAAAATAATACTTTTAACCTAATTTTTTTTCATCTATATTCTCTTGCTTTAAAATGTTTACTATAAAATAATTTTAATTGAGAATAAACTTACTTATGTATATAGGGTATTGTACCTACTTACTTTACTTATTCTTGGACGCACTCTTTCAATCTTCTATATATTTTGTTTTCTTTTGTTTTTCTGTTTATATTTTTAAAATCTTTCGCTCTCTGTGACCGACCGATCGACAGCCATTGTTGTTAAACCGATAGTTCCGAAAATGCCCGGTAAGTTTTCTTCCCGACATTGTTTTTTTCTGTTTTATTTTAATTTTCAAACATATCAACATAACTTACAATTTTGCTGTTTTTATTTCCACTTTTCATTTTAGCCGCCCTTAGATTTTATTTTCGTTGTTGTTGTTGTTGTTTCATTTTATTTTATTATTGTTATTATTAATTTTTTTTTTAATTATTTATAATTATTTTCGTATTTAACACTTAATATTATATATATATTATGTTGACATTAATTTTTTCAATTTTTTTTTTTTTTTTTAATATTTCCGAGTGTTTTTAATTCGCTTGAATGTTGGTAACTAATTAATTTAATAATTAATAATAATATGAGAGAGTTCAGCAGACAATTATAGGAATTTCTCATTCAGCTATTTACTTATGACATTAAAATATTGTATATTAGTAATCATCTCTCGTTTTCAGTACTTGTTATATAGTATATACTCGCACACATAAAACTCTTTAAGACCGAATAATCATTACGATATTTCGATTTTAAAAACGTAGGAAATCTTTGATCCTCTATGAAATTTCCTTTTAATCGATAAACATTCTTAAAAAATAAAAAAATTAAATCGTTAAGCTTACAGGACTGTGCATGTGATATAACACCGATCTACCCACTTACCTGTATTATTTTATAGATAAACATTATGCATCATATTATATTGCCAATCGTTTTGTTTAAAAATAAATAAAACTGTTACTATAAACACTTCCCCTCCTCACCACCGCCACTGTTTATTTAGGTTACTCGTAGAATTTTATTTTGTTTAGTAACTAAAACTAAATAAAAAAGTATTTACGTTTATTTAGAAATTTGTTGAAAATTACAGTAGTAATATTATAATATTATATTATAGCCGTAGAACTAACTCCGCATAGGTCCAACCAGGTGCTGTTTAAATCGAAGTATATAATAGACATATATTGATACAATAATGCGTTTTTAACTATTATATTTCACTAACGTTATTACATGTATGTTTATATTACACTTTTTGGTACCCGAAATACCTTTGAATACAAAAGGTAATGGCACTTCTAGTGTACCTATAAAAATCGACTTCTTCGGTTGAACACACGCAAAACAAATAAATTATAATAATTAGTTTTACATAATATTACCTAAATACACTTCACTTGTTTACCATTACACCAGTATGATTATAGTATACAAATATAAAATTGTTAAAAATATATGTATAATATATATTATTATATAATTTTTAATATTGAATCAACAAATTGTTATTTTAGGCCTAAAACAAAAGTTGCTCTTGTTTTTAGTTTAAAATTGTATATAATATATTATATATATCCTATATAATATTTATATAATTTCGTTATCGTTCCATTATAGGTTGCAGGTAAAGTATTTTTAATTAAACGAAAATGAATTTTAAACCAATCGTTCATTTGGCTTAAAAATTTATTGACATCAATGATCAATCACACCAAGCAAACAAAAATAAAAATTTATATACATGTTATCATTTTGTATACGATTACCTACCTACATATAGGTGGATAGAAATAATATCACGTGACTTCATATTGGAAATGCGTAAATTATAATGTACTTGATTATCGATTATTGACGTTGAAATAAAAAATTATATAATTTCATTTTTTATTTAATTTTTATTCGAAATAGACGGTAGTTAAATAATTTCTACAACACTGACACATTTTATTGTATTTTATTAGAGTTGCGACTAACACAAGCGTTGCCTATAATATACCTAATACATTGACGATATCGCTGTGCTTAACCTATCACATTATAAAGAAAAACATTACCGCTTAGCCATATATATATATATATATTATATATTAATTAAAACATGTATAATTCTATAAAATATAATTTATAACATGGTCTCTTGTAGAAAATCAATTTATTGAGTACAACATTAACATAAAAATTAATTCATCTTTCTTAAACTATACCCAATTTCTCTCGAAAATACCAAAATATTTTTTTTATCAAATAATTTTAAATAATTGACTAAAATATGAATATTAAATAGTAATTAGATATGTTTAAGTAATTTCTTATATTTATACCTATATATTCCATTCTAAATACCAAAATAAGAGTTTCAACAATAAAACCTCTGCAGTGAATAGTTCCTAGTGTTGGTTGTTTTACAAGTTTTAACCATTATGAACATGCAGTTTTTACTTGTTAAACGTTATCAATATGGAAGTATTTTTATTATTTTAACATATAAATATAATTGAAGAAAATATTTTGATGGCCTAAAATTACAACTAAATATACTATCAAAGTATAAAAAATTATACAAAATATTTAAATGTATAACGTAAACAAGTAATAAAAATATTATTTCAAAATAATATAAATATATTAAAATTTGTTTATAAAAGGTAAACCTAATTTTAATGAAGGTATTCCTAAAAATGTGATGAACAAATTTTAAAAATAATATATTAAAATATTTACAAGTATTCTTATTAGGACAATTATAAAATATGTCTGATATTTAAAAAAAAAAAAGACAATTTTTGATTAGTTAATATGCCTATAAAAATGTTTAAATATATAAAATTTGTATTGAAAATGTAAAGATTAATAACAACTTTAATAAATACCTACTATAACTATATTAGAATCTATGAGCAATAAAATAAAAATTGGTTATCATTATATATTTATATAGAACTTATAAAAAATAAATGAAAAAGTTATAAATTATCTTTAATCATTTTAATACTTATTTAATTTTTTGTCAGTAAGCTGTATATTGCTGTACAATAAATATTTGGGTAGCATAATAATACCTATTATAATAATATAATTAAATATATATATATATATATATATATTTATTAAGTACTTATACGAGGGTAGAATTGCTTTGTTCTCATGATATTAAAACATATATTGTGATATATTTTCACAAAGTCTTTTTCTGTATCATTCCTTAAACCCTCCACCAGCCCCACCACACACACACTCGTTGTTAATTTGATTTACAATTATTATAATTTGAATTTTTTTTTTTTCTGTTTTCGTTTTGATGTACAATTTTATTTGATGCGGACATACGGACTTGTTTGACGGCGCACCAAAAATATTATTATGACGACATTGCGTATGTTTCACTTGTTTTCTGTTTTTCATCACGTCCTTTACATTTGGTAAGTATATGAAGATATTTCGCTTTTTTTTATTTTCACTCAAATTGTAGTTAGTATTTATATCAACATGTCTTGTGCTCGTCGCTGTTTTTATTTTATTTTTAAATAACTACTTTGGTGGCTATATGTATATATTGCTGTATTTTATTATTGCTTTTACATAATATTTTATAAATAAAATAGATACTTTTATATAGCATGTCGATATACCTAGAAAATGTATAGAATATATTATTATAAAGATAAGTTATATATTATACACCCACTAAATACATTTTACTTAGTGAGACGTTTTAGTACCATTATTAATTTTGTGGATTTTTAACAAATGTTATGTATATATATATATATTTTTTTTTTTGCAACGCCGATGGCATATAAAAATAAAACGGGACCCCTTTGATTAAATAATATTATTAATACCTTTACACATATAATTTAGTATAAATATATCGTTTAAAAATACAATCCATAATTTGTATTCTGATCTGACTTATTGCTGAACATTGCTGAACAAACAACTATCTGATATCCTTCATCTGCATGAACATCGTACTCATATACTTAATTTATTGTCATCGGTCCTAAATAGGTGCATTTATATTATGATGTGATTATGTGTGACGTGTTTACCTAGTCTATTTTATATGAAGTTACAACTATGAACGAAAAAAAATCCTATTACTTAATTAATTAATCGTTTTAATGGATTTCAGTACAATAAATTAGTATAAACTTTCAAAAAGAGACTCACAATTTTTTTGATGTAGGTATTTAAAAAATATCGTTTTACTATAATATGCATAAATTATAGTAAGATAAATTAAATTTGTTCACAATCGAGTCAAAACATTTTATATTATTATCATATAAATAATATTCGAACTACTATTATTATTTTAACGGTTTTGAATGATTAATTATTATCATTTTATTATTTTTACTTGAAATTCGGAACAAAAAAAATGTTTGAAAGACATATGTACAATATTTGATTATTATTTTGTTTTTATATTCACCAATTGACACATTTTATTTATTTACTAAAATCCATTAATTATTATTATTACAAATACAATTGTTTTCAGTTTACACATATTGCCCTTTTTATTTTAGGATGATACATTTTATAAAGAATAATTGTTTAATACTTTATAACTTTTAAAGAGATATTTATTAAATAATTAGCTAGTTAAATCTTAAAATAATACTTTCTCGAGACATTATTTTGGATTTTTCATTAATTGCCTTGTTTTTTTGATATAACCAATATTTTTTTTTATAATTTTTGTTTTGTTTTGTATTTATTGTTTTTTATTTTTTTTAATTTGTTTTATATATATTAATACAAACTTAATTTTTCAACAGTTAATGCAGCCAATTTGAGAAAAGAAGTTATTAGAAATAAAATAAGAGCAATTGGAAAAATGGCAAGAGTCTTTTCAGTTTTGAGGTAAAAATATGTACAATAAATAATAATCATCCATTTTTTAGTTTCTTGATTTTTATATAATAAAATGAATACCTATAATTACAATTAACAGGGAAGAAAGTGAAAGTGTATTGCAGTTGAAGGGTCTAACTCCGACTGGTGCTCTCCCTCTAGGAGCGCTATCTGGCGGCAAAACATCGTTAAAAAATGGTAAATCTTTTTTTAAATATATACATATGTAATTAGTATACATTTACATGTTTATATACCACAATTTAAATATATTAATGTTTTATTGATATTTTAGCACTTCAAGGTTTCTCTCCTAATCATAAGATTACTTCATTTGCCGAGGCAAAAGGCCTTGATGCAATTAATGAAAGAATGCCACCACGCAAAGACACACCGCCATCCAACCAGTGCTCGCCATCTAACATAGCTACATCATCGACTACACCAGTGACACCTGTAACAGAAGATAAATCGCCATCCCCATCAACTACTCAAAAACCAACATCATCGGAACAACCATTAACAAATACCACTCATTCATGATTGCCATAAATTTAGGTAAATCATTTAACACCTGTTTCATCTTCTCGGCAATTAATTTAATTTAATTTAAATTTGTGTTTTAAAATTTCAGATTACCTAGCTATACCAGGATCTATGAGCTGTTATCTTCTTTATACAGTCTACAGTTTATTCAATTCAATAACTACTAAAATTACTATAATAATTTATCATATTCATTTCAATGGTACATTTTAAATTAAAATATTTGGCACCTTAAAAAAAAAAAGTTCCTGGGGACAATTATGTCAATATAAATAATATATATATAATATAATTTTCTTTTCTTTTTTTGTAAATTATTTTCTTGTATTTCTACAATTTTAATTTGCTGTCTTTGTTGTTATTTTATTTCATTTTTTTATGGTTATTTCAAATCTTAAACCTCAGTTTAAAATAAGAATGGTCAGGTATTTATTGAACTATACCTACTTCTGCATCGCTTGTTTTATCAATATCTAAGGCATAATATCTTTTGCTATATGATCTCTTCATTTTACTGTACACTCTTTTCATAATAAAAAAATATCATTTAATTAATATGTATTTTATATTAATTTTTATCAACAAATAATTATTTAAATTTTCCCTTTTAATTTTTTTTATCTCAATTTAAATCGGAGATATTTTTGACATATATCACATTATCATTCTATTACGTATCAATTGCAATGTGCAGTAAAATGTGATGTGTCACAATAGCCTATGTATTATGCTAAATATTTTGCCATTAATTTTGTCAAATCTAAAAACCAAAAATAAATACACATAATTAATTTAGCATAGGTATATCTTTATTATATATATACTATATACATACATTAATATTTATAAATATTTCTTTATTAATACTATTTTGTATATATTATAATATTTAAATAAAACCATTATATTAATATATCTACAATAAAATGAATTTTATATTTAGGTCCTGCAAATTTAAAAATTTGTCTTCATTTTTTTTTCTTTATAGTTTAAATTCATTAATTATTATTGATTGAAAAAACTTGTTAACAATTCACTCAATTTGAATTAAATTATTATCATAGCAATTAGTTTTAATTATTATAAAAAAAAATTTAATAGTAATTTTTACTGTTCAACTATTTTTTTGAAAAGATAGAAATATTGTTCTTGTTTTATTTCTATTATAAACAAAACTATTGCTTATTATGCAGGAATAATTAACGCTCATTAATTATATATTTTTTCCACAATTATTTATTTCAATTTGTTATCCATTTCCATCTTTAGTAATATTATTGCACGTGTTATCTGCAGTTGTAAACAAATACAATATAGAAAAAAAAATGATGTCAATCACAATTTTTTTTCCTATCATTAAAATATCACTAATCTTTTATTATAAGACTGTTAATTTATTCGTACAAAGACTATGAATAAAAAGTAAAATTATTAATATTATATTTAGCGGATTATAAAAACCAAACCCTCCCTATCAAAAAATGTATGTATCTTTTTTTCTATTGTGTGACCACCAAAAATTCTTTTATACATAATATAAATAATTTAAGACCAAAAATACCCTGTTATTCTTCTATGTTTATTTGTTTTCAGAAGTTAAATAAAACTTTATACAACTTGATTTTGAGGTGACTTGCTTTTATTAGATCCTTTTAAATATTGGTACTGGTTCAATTTTGTCATATTTTGTTTACCAATAGTATATTATGTATCAAAAATATAAATAAATAATAATAAAATATTAATTTTGTTAATATTATTTTTATATTCATCATGCTATGAAGTATTTTATTTTACAACTTTAAGTTGTAACAATAAAAAACTAATAATCAATAAAAACAAATTCTAAAATAGATTTTATACTGAAAAGAATCTTATAAATTTATTGTAACAAGTATGAGAGTATTTCAAGCTTTCATTCACTTGAAACATTAATTTTATTATTTTTTTTACTCATAAAGCTCATTTATTATATTTGAAACATACTCATTGAACCTTAATATCTGTACACATCCTTACACTATTTATAATTATAAAATAACATACTCACTTCATAAACAAATATTATTTTATTCAGTTGATGTTAATGAAGTAAATAATTAGTATTAAACAGGTAAGAACCACAAAATATATAATATAATATTTAAATTCTATAGATACCGATATGAATATTCAGTTGTGAACCAGGCCTGTAGCCATGGGTTGTCAAAGGGAGCGTTGCCCCCCTCCCTAAAAATATTACCATAAAAATTTAACCATGTGACATCAGTGTAATATTTAATTATCTGCGTAAACTTTAATTTAAGTTTTATTTTTATTATTTAGTATTATTCGTTTTGTATTAAAAAAAAAAAATTTTCATTGTAAATTCCCAAAATATTCTATTATGAATGAATATTAGATGGAAAATTACAGTTGTGTTAATTTATTGAAATGTAAGTAAAAATAAATTAAAAACTGCATTAATATTGTTTTTATATATAATGCCCACCCCCAAATTTGCTTTGCCCCACCTAAAAATTTGGTCTGGCTACGGGCCTGTAGTGAACATTTAAAAGATTATTTTACAAAAACGTATCTAAATATTTAAATCATCCAGAATATTTTCATTTTCTTTGAAAAATTAACATATTGTAAATAGAAGAAGCTCAAAACCAAAAACGTTTAAACCTATCTCTTTCATGTATAGGTACTAACGTACATTCTTAAAAATAAATGAAATGTACTTTTTTAAATAATAGAAAAAATAAAAAAATTTAAGAAAAACGAAAATTTTCACGCAAAACTAGCATTTGAATAAATCTAATTTTGGTTATTACTTATTTGATATAACTTAATTAAAACAGAACAATAGTATATAGGACTTGAAATTCCAAAAAATTCTTATATTACCTATCATTTTATACAGGTACTGGTACATAATCGTCATAATCCATATTCCACCTCCTCCACGGGCTTCGTATTTCGTAGTACGTAACCACGCATAGATAACAGTATAAAATATAAATAATAATATATTTATTTATCTAATATATATTATCTATGGGTGAAAGGAGGAATCACTATTCACTATAAATGATAAAAACCTAACTTCACCGATTAAAAGCTAACTAAACAGGGTGTTAATTTATAGAAGATAAAATTTCTTATTATACATTTATCTAGAAATTGCAATTGGTATGAAATCTATTTCTTATTTATTTATTTATTTGCAGGCGAATAAAGCGGGAATTGGGATTTTATCTAAATTTTTTTCTAACTTTTTTTTTTGTTCTCATCAGGTTTGCTGTTATCACTTGTTATCAAAATCGGAAAAACTACCCGCCCCGATCGGTATTCAGTATTCAAACGTTAACGTATTTAAACGGTATCATCACGATATACGAAACATGTGAGCCGATTGGCTACACTGTATTTACTTAACGTATGGCTATTGGTCCAGCGCCTTCTCATATGATTTAAATAACAACTAACTGAACTGATTGTTATTGTTAAAACCGTTTGTTTATACGCAATAGTTTAAATTTTTAAAAATTTTTTATCCTTGACGGCTAGACAGTACCACACTACCACAGTAGACAGACACCAGACACCAGTGTCTCAGAATCAAATTTTTGTTATTAACGTAATTCTTATAATTTTTACTTTGTATTTCCAATTATTATTTTGTTTATGGTCACAAATTAATTTCTATGCCAAATGACTGAATAAAACTGAAAACAGCCGTTTCGACGTGTTGAAATTCATGATTTGCCATTCAATAGATCCCCGTCGTTCCAAATAAATAACCACCGCCGATTATATATTAAAGTAAGTTTATTGTCGACAAGATTAATCGTTTCCAGAACATAAAATTATAATAATAAACCATTGACCGAATGTAAACATATTATTGATGTAATAGCTTATAGTTTTATAGTTAGTCTAACCAGTCTAACCAACTTTAATTATTAAAGTAAGTTAATGAGTCATTTTAAATTATAATTTTGATGTTTTGCTGTAATTCAAAAATAAATTGTTCATAAAGATTTAAACTTACATGTTATATCATTATAATTTTCAAAATATTTTGATTAATTTTAAGCTTTTGTCAATTTATACATACCATAAACATATTCATATCATTCTACAGTAAGTCAGTATTAATTCAAAAGTTAATTGAATAATAAATACAATGTTTTTGAAAATTAACTCAATCTATCATATTATCAATAGTAATAAACAGATTATCTTTACTCTGTATGGTTTTTTATTTATAATGATTTATCATTGAAATCAAATTTAACACATTCATTACAGTGACTGACTCAATGATGAGTTATGCTTGACACCTCAGTGCACTATAAAGCTGATAACAGTTACCTACTTTCTTTCTTTTTAAGCTTTAAAATAAATCAAAATATTTCAAAAATTATGTTATTTATAGTAATTTGTTATACTAATAACTGCTTTAAAGTTAAAGGTTTAAGTATTTTTATTTTTACTGCTTTCAAAGGTAATGTAGGACACACAAATAATGACAATAAACAGTAGATATCAGTAGGCATCATAAGTTTTATTATTTTGTACTTAAATTTTAAATGTTTCTTTGAATCTAAACCTGTATTGTATTAAAAAAATATAAACTACGTTAATATAAAATAATAAGATAAAACAATTTGTATCCTACTTAAATTGTTTTAAAGTTACTAAGAAAGTTACTTACTATGTACTCATATATGAAACTCTGCAGTAATAACTTAATAAGTATTTAAGTATACTTTATTTTGTTTATTTATGTATTTAACTGATTTTATTTATTTTTTTAGTTGTACTAATTCATGATGAGCAACCAGACAAGTTCAACTGATTCAGCATTTAAAATACCAATGGCACCTCAATTTTATCCTTCTCAATCTGAGTCTTTACTTTTCCAAGACATTATAGAAGAGAAAGCTGTTGCACTTCGCAATGTATTAAATGATTTTTTAAAAGTACAACCATATCGTAAATTTGATATTGAATTTAATTCGTTTTTAAAACGTATTAAACGCATTATCATTGATGGGCATCGTTCTGGCTCTAATATCTCTCGAGTTACCAATTCATCACAGATTGCACCACTTTATGCTAGGCCATCAGCAAGTTTCAATTATAGGCCATCCACGAGTTTTAACTATAGGCCACCAACAACTGTGTCAATGGTTAGTTCTAGCGATTATGGCACATTGAGATTACCAGAAAACAATTTTCAACCTATCGAACCTAGAGAACTTTCAAATCCATTTAAACCACCAGATTGTCTTCAACCCAGAGTGGTATTATCTCGTATTGATCAATCTGGTCACAATTCTCATGAGTCACACTCCATAAGTGCAACTGTTATTGAAGTAAGTCAAAATCATAATGAAACTGTTAAAGAAAATAATATTCATGAAGTTGCTCGTAAATCTAAATCTCTATCAAGAAATGAACCAACTGCACGTAATACATACTCTGATGTAACATTTGATGAAAATAACCAAAATGTAACATTTAATGAGAATAATCAAAATCAAAATGTAGATGATGACAATAATTCTATAGAATCACTTCTTGAAGATGTTGGATTTAAAATTATTGTTGGATTAACAGAAAATAACGAGACCAAAAAAAAAAATGCAAGTCAACATAGTAATAATAAATCAAATGTATTAGGAAATGTTGAGAAATTTTTATCTATGTGGTCTTTAAATATGAAGCTAATAAAATCATCACAACAATCTAATATTTCAAAACATGTTTTGATTTTAACTGGTAATTTAACATATTATTTTATTATTTCTTAATTTAACCAAGACTGTATATTTTTAGGTAATTTGTTGAGCGAAGATAAACTGACAGTTGTAGAAAAACGTCACGAAGCTGGCATTTTAGAAGGTCGAAAAGAAAATAATTTAGTTAAGACAAGAAATGGACTATACCGTTTAGTAGGCAATATTATTGGTGGATCGCCTAATGAATTATATCAAACATGTTTATCCATCAATGGAATTCCAAGGACATGGAGAAATATTGTTAAACAACTAACTGGGACTGAAAATAAAACAAAAAATGTGTTTGATTTTTCAATAAGTTCTCCTGCTGGACCTATTACTAAGCCAACAAGAGCTACTATGAATCTTGATGCGAGTATGACCAGAAAAGGAACAACTTATAGTAAAAATATAACTCTTGTAAATCATAAAAGAAAATTGTCTGAGTATGATGAAACTGAAAATAATAAAATCAAACATCGTAAATTTGGTGAACATTTACCATTATTACTAGCATCTACACCAAAGAAACCAAAAAAACAACCCACCATGTTTGAAACACCAAGTCAAATTTTGAAAAATAAATTTAGTCAGAATATATTAAACAAACAACGAAAGCTGAATAATGTTAATGATTCAATTCATATAAACAAAAAAAGAAAATCTCAGTCAAAAGAACAGGTATAATTATAATATTCAATATTCTAATAAATTAGTATTTAAAACATAATTTATGTGTCTATATAATAATGTTAGTTACAGTATTATTACTATAGTAAAAATATTAATAGTTATCAAAAGTACCACAACTTTATTTTTTTATATGTATTCTGGTTTGATCATGGAGTTATACCACTTTTAAGAAGCTTTCATAACTAAACAAAGTATATAATAATTTGTAATACTTTTATGGCCCACTACACTAATGCTACTTGAAAGATACTTGTTTGATCGCTAACCAGTCAAATTACAATTTATTAAATATGTTGAGTTTTAATTTATTTAAATGTAACTATACTTTGTATTAGGTAAATCTTTTATTCTCTATTCTCCATTGTTTCAAAAATTATTATTGGTTTTAAAAAATATGCGTATATATTTTATTATAATTTTTAAGTTTTTTATTTTACTGTATGACAATATACATTTTTTGTTTCTTATTCTGTAACAAATTATTTATTTTTTTATTTCCATACATAAAAATCAAATTTTGAACGAGCATTTTATAAGTTATAAGTATTTAAGGTTTAGGTTAGAAAAGTAGTAGACAATATCTCCACTCAACTTTATTTAAACTATAAAAATCATAAATACTTTTTGAACTTTGATTTTAATATATAAAAATACTCTATATATTACTGTGTATTATGTTTTCTGTGATGTATATTTTATTATTTTTCATACATCATGTGTACAGATTACAATTAAGTCTTCATAGAATAAATCATGTAGTCAAATACACTTGATGTAAATGACAGTTAAATCAATGTTATGTTAATTGTAGCTCAGAACAAAGTCTTTAGTTATAGATATTGATTCCAACAGAGGACTAATCTATTGGCATCCCAGACCTGAATGTAAAGAAATATTTTATAAAAATAAATGTTTCAAATATATTGTTGATAAGAGAATAAATAGATTCTAATTTTAACCCCTATTTAATTATTTATAGCCGTATAATTATTATTTAGCTTAAATAAAATAAAAAATTAATTTTTATTACTTCATTTTTAAATTACAGACAAGTAAATTTTTGAAGCCAAAAACCCCTGAAAAAACATTGTTAAGTAGTAACAATAGTACAAAATATGCCAAACAAATATCAAGAAATTCTTCTGTAGGCAGCAAAAATAACACCAAACTATCCAATCAATCATCAAAAATATCAAATAGTAGTGTATCAAAATCAAAAAGTAAAACACTAGAAAACTCATCTGTGTCTACAAGAAGCTTGAACAACTCCAAGCAACAATCTAAATTGAAAACATCTATAAATTCTACCAATCACAGTGTGGAAAAATCTAAAGAAAATGTAAAAGCCATAAAGCAAATAACGCCCAAAATGCCTAAAAACAAAACAGTAACAAAACATGTTAACGTTGCAAAAGAAATTAAAAAAAAAAAGGTATCAACATCAGGAAGTGCTCTTACTAAAACCAATAACAAATGTATAAAGGCAATCAAACCTAAAGCCAAAATATGTGATGAAAGTTTGAACAATACCAACACACATCAAAAATTAAAAGCAAATAAATCCAAAACAAAACAGGTACATTGCCCCAATGGCTCGTCAACAGGATTAGACCTTTTTGGTTGCATAGACCATGGTGATTTTGGTAATGTAAGCGATTATAATGTTATGGCATCACCAGGCAAATTAAGTGTAGTATTAGGTAATGACAAATCCAGGAGCGTGACGCCTCCATTATTCAATTGTCAATGGAGTTCAACTGCCAAGTCATTAGTCGCTAGTGAACCACCAACCCCATTAAGTAAATCAATGGAGGCCAAAGCATTAAAGCGTGTCAAAGCACCCAAAATTACTTTAGAAGATGAAATGAAATATAACAAGAAGAAAAATAGCAAACAATCCATTGATTTCAAAACAGTTTCTAATAAAATAAACAAAATGTTAGAATTTGGAAGTGGATATGATGAAGATTAATCATTATTTTTTGTATTTTGATGACATGTTTTATTTTTTTAATAACTGATTTTCCCTATTCTTTAATATCTTAGTTAAAATATGTGTTTTAACTTATTGTTTAAATTGTAATTATTACCTCATTATGAATTACAATCATTGTCTTTTTAAATAAAGCTCATTTATAAATATTTTTTAGAGATTATATACCTTGTTATTTAAATACATTTGTATTATTCACTTTCATTATTTTGTTATAATAATATTTTTAATATAATTTTGTACTAAATGGTATTACTATATTTTGTAATATGTTTTATTTTGAGATAAGAATTTTAAACAAACGTCTTAGTACATTTTTAGGATTTTATTATTATTTAAGTAAGGGTAAGTTTTTGAATTAGTGTAGTCCATATCTTTATACTTATTATTTAATTAAGGCGTAACTTGCTAATTTTGCATATATATATATTTTTTTTTAATTTTAAATATAAGTAAGATACAAATTTGATTCAAGTTATAACCATTCTAACTATAGAATTGTAATTATTTTTGAATATTTTAGATGTTAGTATATTTCATAACTGTTGTTTTTATTGCATAATTGGTTAAATTATATCTCTGTATAATACTTGAATTTATGTAAAATTTAAACTTTTTTTGAAATTTTTAATACATGTTGCTCTATTTTCAAGTACACAAATGTTTGCATATTTCACGTTATTTTAGTGCATTGAATTCACTAAAATAGCAGATCTGGATATGTATGTCTAAAGTTAAGTCAATATTACGAGCCTGTGTCATATTTATTCATTTTTTTTTTATTTATTTATACAATATGTTAATTATGATTTATATCGGAAAGATGAAAATAGAATCTTTGAAAAAAAATTTTAATTCAAAACTACGATGTATAACCCGAATTCCGACTTTGAGGCCAATAAAAAATGCACACAAATAAAATACTGCATAATGTTGATATCTCTCGGCGATTAATGAACAAACCGCCGCATTATTAACTAATTTCTGCGGTAAATTGGATATAGATAGCATAATATAACTCATAGTAAGTTTTCCAACATGGTACAAAATGCAATCTCCAAATTCTTCCGGCGGCCGATATTGACTTCAAAATAGGTAAATAAAAAAATAGAAGCGAGTCGTAACGACGACAAGTTGTGTTAAACGATGCCAAAATCGCTGCAATTTACATGGCTTAAAATTTATTTTTATTTTAAAATTAAATTCGACCTTTATCGATGACGTCAATAATCCAAAACGACGTTTTACCATCGGTTTATACCGTCGCAATGTGAACTTGGATTTGTACGATTTAACTTGTTTGAAATTTATGTTAACGCCTGAGCAAGTTAATAAGTTATTCTTCGAAAAAAAAGGCTATTTAAGACAAGTTGAAGTTATCTTATAACTCAAAAAGTTCAACTGTTTGCGTAACAGAATAAAATAATACATTTTTAAAGAGGTTGGTTTAGTTCAGAAGTTTGGTTGGAAGTTAATTTTTTTAATTGAGTACTCATTCTTTAATAAGTAGTTGAGTTTTAGTGTAGCCTATTGTTTAGCTTTGCAGCAAACAACAATCCATCCTCCTTTTTTTAAGAACAAATAATATCTAAGAAAAATTTAAAACACACTATAAGAACGATTTGAAGTATTTTTTCTAATAAGTGTGTTCAGACACAAAAAACACATACACACATTGTAAAATCAACACATTTACATGTATGATCAGAACTGAAATTATTAATTAGTTTCGACCGTACACGACTATGGTTTTATAAACAATGATCGCGTACATGTGCAACAATCTATAATAATATAATATTTTGATTAAAGATGTATCGATTCAACACGCAAGTTTAAATAACAAAAAAAATACTATATTATTTTCATTAATATAATAATTATAAGGACATTGCACATAGTGGTTATAATATTATTTTGTATAATAAAATTAGAATAAATTATTTCATTAACATTTTTTTCGATTTGTTATTACGTAATAAATAATAACTCTGTAACAATAATACAAAACAAAAACAAAAAAAAAAAAAAAACATTATTTATTCATATATATTTTTATACTTGAATAAACCGGCGATAGGTAACTTAAAAGTGTGACACATGGAACACAGTCGTAGCACACACTACCGTTATCATATTACTGCTATACATCAAAGTTGTTGTTAATTTTATTGCTCGTCTGTAACTGTTGCAGTGCATTAGAGGTATAAATGTTGTTGTTAGTAGATGACGACGGAGAAGACCGCGGTGTGATGGATGTCGTTGTCCCGCCAGACGACGATAAGTTATTTTCTCTGTGCCGTTCGATTTCTTTCCACAGCCTCAACTCGACGCCGCGTCTAAATGACAAAAGATTGACAGCGTTAAATGCATCGGACCTTTGACGATAAATTACGAACAAACACAGCATTACTCACTTCAACCCGAGACCTCGCAAATCTTCTCTGGTGACGTCAAGTTGTATTTGATCCAACAGAAACTGTTCGTTGACTAGCTAAAAAACGATAACAGACAAAATTGACAAACACGGTTCGTGATGACGAGAATACGAAGACATAAAACAGAGTTGAATAATAGATTTAATCGACGGGCACAATTACAAAATGCCGAATTTCAATTCTACGTGATCGCATATACTTATATAGAAACTTACTATTTTTATCGAGTGTTCGTCGATACCGATGTCGCGAAGCCATTTGATTAGATCTTTGTTACAATCGTCCGCACTGTTTTCATAGTTGAAATCTCTGAACTCTCGACAGCAATTCCGACAAGGGGTGCAACAGTAATCACTGCAAATGGCTGCGTTTTGTTCAGCAGTCCATTTCAACAAAGACATCAAGTCCTTTTGATCTTCCACCATTTTTTTCAGAAAACCGTTTTGACATTCTAACACTTCTTCCAAAAATCTATTAAAATTAAAACTCTGATGTACTAAATAATAATATAATACAATATTAGGTTTTTATTTTTATTTTCTGTCGATTATTCGTTTAAATTTTCCACTCTAGGTTTAAAAATTATTATTTTTTTATACTTTAACTAACTATATATACGAGTATATAGTGTTAAAATATTTTTTTTATTTTATTTTATTTTATTTTTTTTTTTTTATAATTGATTTTACGTTTGGATTGCAAATTATAGATATGATTATCATTAAAATAATTATGTAATATTGTTTTTTTTAACAAATTAAAATAGCTAAAATGATATTATATTTACATTCAATTTTACAGCATTCAACGAAATCGTGAATTATCGTATTAAACATTGATACTAAATGTTTAAACTTATATTATAAATACAAGTTAAAAAATAATTAATACGTTTTTTACGAATTTAAGGCTAAAGAATAAAGGCACAATTTTTTGGCATGTTGCAGTTCCATTTTTAGACATTGCAAGAAAACCGTAGTTTAAAAAGGGGGAAAATAGGTAACCGCTTTAATGTAAAATAGATGACAAGTGGACTTCATTATTGAGGAATAAGTCATTGTAATTTGTAATATATATGCAAGCTTCACATCAAATTTTGCGCCACTATACAAAGGTTTCAATTATAAGAAAATTACCATAAATTATTAAAATTTAAGAAAAATAAACAGATTAAAAATAACATCTTTTTTTTGTTACAATATTATTTAAATGATTTGGATGATTCCGATTTATGCAATGCAATTCAAATCTAGCCTAAGAATTAGTTATAAATCTAATTTATTATTTTAATCGAAAATAGTTAAGACCTATTAAATTAATGGTTATTAAGTAATATTAATAATAAATTAAATTAAATTAATTTTAAACAATAACCTTACATTTGAAAATGTTATTGTGTATAAAAATTAAAATAATATAAGTAATACATTTTAAATATCCACCAATATTTTAAAATTACAACAAAATAACTGTCATTATACTTTATTTAAATATCTAATTTCATCCGCATTTAAACTTAAATAAAACTGTGCTTATATGTTTTTGAACAGTATGAATTACTAATAAGGAATATAAAGAATGTTGTATTACATTTTTAGTCCTTAGTTAATAAGAACCAATTAAAACATTTTATTGATGTTTAACTACAATATTATTTGCAAATTTTGTTAATATTTTAACTTTAAATACTTATAATTTATAAATAAAATTTATGAACATTTATTTTTTTATAATTTTAAGCAGCTATTATAACCATTTATGAAACACTTTGTACCAGATTTTTGACTCAGAAAAAATATTTTTATCGACAATAATAAAAAAAAAAGTGTAACAATTGCTTAGGTACTAAATAAATAATTTTGAATATTTTGTTTGTAGATACTTTTAATGATCTAATATTTTAATAAAATAACGTTTGATTAAGTATTCATTGATAAAATCTAAGCATTTAATTATTTTATTCAATACGAGTAGATATCAGTAATTCTTAAAAAAAGAATAGAAAGGCAGAAAATGCCCTCCTTCCCTTTTGGCAACAAAATCATGATAACATAAACACATTCAATAGTTACCTCACAAACCAGTAATTATAGTGATTTATTATTTTTGGAATTTGATTATTGTTAATACATATATAGGTACAGTATACACTTCAAAAAAGGTTTTTTAAATATTTATTTTATAATATTTATAAATTTTTAAAAGGTTATTTTAATGATGTTAGTATTATGACGTATTTAATTTTATGTTAAGTTGCCAACAGAAGTCATCCAATCCTAAAGAGACTTAATTTCGAAACCAATTTTACAATACGCTTTCAAATCAAGAACTCAAATAGATTTAATTGATATGCAATTATAAAATATAAATAGATCCTGATTCATTTTAAATTATTAAGACCATTTTATGAAATTTATCTTTTTCAGAACTTTAACAAGTGTGAGAAAGAGATCGCACACAATTTGTTGGATATTCGATAATTATACGACTTTCGGGGCACCAGCCATTCTACATTCAATAGCCAAGAATTTTTTTAATTTAATAATTAGTAAGCTTTCTTCTTTGTGACAAGATATAAAATGTGTACAAGGCAAACCTCAAAATAGCTAAAGTCAATGATTTGTATAAAGAGTTAACCAAGACGCTGGAGATATGCTAGAAACAGGGATGACACAAAATAAAAACAAAGGTTGGCGCTTACAGGATTAAAATGTATATAGTTTTAAAA